CTCGTCGAATGCAGTTTGGCATTCTTGAGTCCATTCAAATTTCTTCTGTTTTCCTGACTCATCCTTTTGGGCGGCTGACCTCATAATTTTGAAGAATGGCAAGCATTTATCCGCTGACCTGGAGATAAATCGATGCAGAGCTGCCACCCTTCCAGTCAACCTCTGTATATCTTTAATTGACTTCGGCGGTTCCATCTCAGCTATTGCCCTGATCTTCTCTGGATTGACCTCAATCCCTCTTCGGGATACCATGAAACCTAGAAATTTTCTAGACTCCACTCCGAAGATGCACTTGGCTGGATTTAACCGCATCCGGTTCTTTCTGAGGTTGTTAAAGGTTTCGTCGAGGTCAGCGAGATGGTTTTCTGCCTTCAGACTCTTTACCACAATGTCATCCACATACACCTCCAGATTCTTGCCAATCTGAGCTCGGAAGACTATGGTCACCATTTTCTGATAAGTAGCACCTGCGTTCTTTAAGCCAAACGGCATTATGACATAACAATAAATCTCGTCGCCAGCATAGAACGAGGTTTTCTCTTCATCTTCGGGAGCCAATGGCACCTGGTGATACCCAGAATATGCATCCAAGAGGCTCAACCTCTCATTGCCTGAAGCCGCTTCAACTAACTTGTCAATGCTCGGCATTGGATAGCAATCCTTAGGGCAGGCGTTGTTGAGATTTGTATAATCGATACACATTCGCCATTTCCCGTTGGCCTTCTTCACCATGACTGGGTTAGCCACCCATTCGCAATAATCAACTTTCCTCACAAAACCAGCCTGTAGGAGCTTCTCCACCTCTTCTTTGACAGCCCGAAGCCTCTCCCCCCCGAAGAGACGCCGCTTCTGGGCCACTGGTTTCTTCAACGGGTTGGTACTAAGCTTATGTTGACAGACTGAAGTTGGAATTCCTGGCATATCCGCCGAAGTCCATGCAAATACATCATTGTTGGCTCGGAGAAAAGCTATCAGTTCTGCCCTCTCCTCTGGGTTCAATCTAGTTTCGATCTGCGTTTTTCGGCTCGGATCTCTGCCATCAACGAGCACTTCTTCAACATCTTCGACCGGAGCAGCTCTGGTTTCATCATCCGGTCGATTATCAATGATCTCTACACCCATTACCTGCTGATTATCAGGAATCTGCTGGGGAATGACCTCGGGTGTCTTATCTTTGCCCTTCGTTGGTTGTGTTACCGAGGTGATATAACAATGTCTAGCCACCTCTTGATTTCCTCGCAGTGTTGCTATTCCCATAGGAGTGGGAAACTTCATGCAGAGGTGAGATTGGGAAACCACAGCTCGGATTTCGGTCAATGTGGGTCGGCCAATAACAAT